AAAAAAAAAAAAGAACTCTTCAAAAATTATACTATTATTATTTTATTCAACCTTTAAAACAATAAATACATAATGTAGGGATCTATATATAATGAAATCTTATATATTATATTTATATAAAATTTTAATTATTGATTTATTTATTTTTAATATTTGAAATTTATTCATATTTATTAAAAATAATTATTTTTTATTTTAAAAATCATAATAAATCTTAATTCTATTGAGAGTAAAAAAAATAAATAATTAAAATTTTATATAAATATAATATATAATAATTATTTATAAATGAATTTATTTTCATATGTATATATAACAAGATACTAGTTATTACAAGGGAGAGAGTCTTTGGTGAGAGATATCCCAGTGAATAAAGCAGTCTCCACAGGGAAGAACCATTCGTTATATGATAATCTTGTTTCTCACTTGGGTCAGGTAGGCTCCTCATTTAATTGGTTTTACCATAAGCGTATTTTTTAGCTATCATGTTTATCATGGGCAAAGCCCTAAAAAATTTTTTTAAAAAAATCACAACCTCATTCTTTTTACTCATACACCTAATTTTAAATTAAAAAAAATTACAACCTCATTCTTTTAACTCATTTACTTAATTTTAAATTTAAATAATACTTTTACATAGTATACATAAGAGAGTGAAATTTTTTGTGTAATTTTTTTTTTTTCTGGGTAGAGTCATTTTATTAAAAAAAAGTTCTGCTTATAATATCTCTCGTCTAACGGTTCTCTTTAGCCGTATGAGTCTATACCCTCGAATTTAAGACTTGTCTCGGGAGCTATGCCAATTGGTCATTAACATGGTGATCACCCTTTTTTTCTTTTTTTGGTAAAAACATGGCGATCTCCTCGGATTGAGCAAGTGAGAGGTTTTCTCAAAGGTGTCCTTTTGCTATGGTTCATTGTTGCATTAGGGGTGATGAGGGCGATTGTTAGGCAATCTATGTGCTTACTTGGCCTTTCGGTGGTAAACTTCTTGGTTTTAACAACAATCAGTATTACGTTTCACATCCGTAGTTACAAATTCAAGTTACGAGAAATAAAACCATAGCTCATAAACAACAATAGCTATAACTACTCTAATATGTAGCTATATATTTACCAATTTGATAGCTACAAGTAAAAACTTTCCGAATCTAATTTATAGTTTTAGGCTTTTAGCTTTTAGTGTTGGTCTTGTATTGGGTGCACTTGATCATCAGCAGTTACTAGCTCCCATATATTTTGATCGTCAACTGCCTCATTTTTGTTCATTGTTGTCTCATGTAGTTCCAAGTCTTAGCTTTCACCTTTACACATTGTTTAAATGCTGGTCTTTGGGATCCGTTTGAATCTAAGATGCAAAAGTTGGCAGTGGGCTAATAGAGACCTATTCCCGATTTGAGTACTACTGGGTTCCTTAAGAAGAGATATTTAGGTGTGGCTTTCATTCCTTGTATAAGGTGGGAATCCTTTGCATAGGCTGTCTTTTGTGGCAATAATCATCAGTTTAATTTAATAAATCATTTATTAATTAATAACATTTTTTCATTTTAATAAAAAATATTTATTTTCTTTCAAACCCATCAATTAACTTTTGAAATAATTTCACTTTCAACTACTCCACACTATATTGTAAAGGTTAAAACCTTATTTTGGTCTTTATACTTTGGTAAAATGTCCCTTTCTAGTTCTTTTACTTAAAATAACCTCTTTTTGGTCCTTTAATTTTAAAATCCAACCCCTTTGTAATCTCTCTATTAAATTTTACATACGTAACACATTAAATAATGAAAATTTTAAAATTGAGAGACCAAATAAGGGTTTTTTTAAACCTTTTTTGTCCCCTTTTTATTTCTCTACTTTGACAAAAAAAGTCTTTTTTTGGTCCCTCTACTTCAAAAAAACGCCCTTTTTTAGTTTTTTTATTTTGGGATTTCCGTTAAAATAACATGCCACAAGATAAAAACTTAATGAAGGGACTAAAAGAGGATGAATTTCAAACCTAGGGGACTAAAAAGAGGTTTTTTTGGGTAGAAGGATTAAAAAGAGATTTTTTACTAAAGTAGAGGAACCAAATCGAGATTTTAACCACATTGACAGAACTTCAAGTTTTTTATTGCATGGTGCCACGAAAGCCATCACATGGCACCATGTAAGTTGCCGCACGGCACTACGTAAGCTATCATGTGGCCTAAAAAGGGGAAGAGAAATTGAATAGAATTAAGTAGAGAAATTGAATTCAAATTATGAGAGATCTAATTATTTAAGACTTTTGTTTCAATATTATATTATTTTTTTAAAGGTTTTTATAACATATATCCAAAAAACACAAGTTAACAGTATATTTATTTATATTTTTTTCATTAATTTATATGAAAAATTACAAAAGTAAACTTTATTTTCAAAACTACATGATTTTAATTAGTTGGCTAATAAAATTCAAGTCTATTGTTATATTTCTCATCAAAAAAATGTAATAAATATATTTTTACTTGTATTTTAAGGGCATTTATTAGAAAAATCTTTTTTTTTAAATGTTTATGTTTTATTTATATTATTTTTCTAGTAACTAGTTTTTAATTAAAGGAAAAGGGAACATGCTAAGACATCTAATAAAAGTCACATGATACATTTGATAAAATTAGGGTCCAAATTATACCTTGCACATTTAATGATTGTAATTGAACATCTAGACATTTTAATATCAAGATGCCTTAATTTTCTCTTTTCTTTTTTATTTATTAAAGGAAAATGGTGGCAAAAAAAATTAAAGGGAAATAATGAGGTGGAAAATTGGCTAATGCCACATGTGGTTGCTTACATGGCTATATGTGGCAGCATATGTGAAATTTCATTAATGGAACTAACAGAGTTGTGTGGGGTAGATTAAAGTGAAATAGTTGTGAAAGTTAATAGATAAATTTGAAAGAAATTAAATATTCTAGATTAAAATGAAAAAATGTTAATAATTAATAAATAATTTATTAAATTAAGCCAATAATCCTCCAAGTTTAGTTTTACATCTGGTTTCTCTTAGTGTTTTTTTTTTTTTTTTTTTTTTT